AATGTTTTGTACACTACACAACATGGCCTCTCTACCTGACCCTTTTACCTTGATTTGTACTTTTAAATTATATTGTAATAAAACCATACAGACCTCATATAATAGCTAAGTAAGAGTAGATTATAACTTCAGAGTTCTTTAGAAATAGACGATTAATTTAAAGACTAATTGTAATGGTGGTTTAAATCTAAAACATGTGGTTGTAAATATTGAAATGCATGGAGTATAGGCAGAAACAGGTATAATTCTCTATGTTAAAATGAGTTCTGGTGAAGCAGATTTGCTCTTCTTTCATGTATAAATCGCATGACTAGCTGGTTGACTTCTTCAGGATTCATACGACTTCTCACTGCTCTCACATCGCCCGAGACTGATTGATTAGTTCCCCTCTGCCCCTCTTAGGTCTCGTTCTGTGTGGTGACCCAGCTCAGGAAAAGTGTTTCTGAAATGTGTCGTTTACCATCCTTTTGTTGTGACTGTCATGTTCAAAAGAGGTTTAAAAAAAGCTAAGAAATGTGGATTATTACCTCCCTCACAGGACCTTTTTGGATACTTGTGTTCATATCTGAAAAAACCCAGACATAAGTGTAATGGAGTTTTTTGAATGGTCCATCATGTGTATTTGTGTCAGTGTTTTCTTTCTACAGACGCCTTGGATGGCACAAGTGACAATAAATGAGTCCTTAAACACGTCATTGAGCTTTGGTGCTCACACACACACACACACACACACACACACACACACACACACACACACACACACACACACACACACACGACACAGAGCATAAGAACGGAGTAACAAGTAAGCTAGTCCATCATCAGAGCAGACTGGGCTCTGGTTTCAGACAGAGGGTGATAAGAGGTGCAGCACAGGCAGTATGAGAAAAATAAAGAGCTTTTTGAACATGAAAGCATGGAGACATGTCCCAGTAGAGACACTACATACTGAACATGAGCAGAATATCTCCTCTTTAAACTCCCCGAACCAGAGAGCACCCGAACATAAAAAAGCTCCATTCAAACGTGACAAAAACAACACAGGCTAGGTGTTTTGACTTCTCTGTTATCGCTCTTTAAGGGCAGACTCCCCGCGGGGCACTTCATTTAAAATGTGGCTGAAACTCAACAAAAACCCACCTAACCAATATTGCCTTGTCTAGGGTTAGAGATATTCTCTCGGCTCGATCACTTTTAAAAAAAAACAGCTTGGTCGTAAAAGGTAGATATAAAAATGCACGATCTCCACATGCAAACTCTCTTTGTAAAAAATAAACCCTTAATCCATCGAGGCATGTGTCGACAAGTGTTTTTTTTAAAAGTCAACCTGTCGAATATTCTGTAAAAACCACGAAACGCCTGCAAAGAATTTACTCTTATAGCTTTGACAATAACTCCTTCTTATGGCAGTCATTGCCAAACTGCTGGAGGTCATTTTTATACCCAGGCATTGGTGTGTTTTATCCCTTTATCTCACTGCCAGCCTCCACATCTCAGAGCCAGGAGGGAGCCGGCTTCTGTTCAAAGAAGCACATCCATCCATCCATCCATCCATCCATCCATCCGTGTTTTTAAAGACGACAGCATGCATCCAAACGCAGCTCCTCGGTTGAACTGATTTAGGATCAGATCCAGACGCCTCAGGCACTAAAAACCTGTGCTTGAGCTGCAGAAATAGAAGCCATTTCAGCAGCTTCACAACATGTGTTTACTGAGACTCGTTCACTACCCTCTTCATGGAGACAACACATTAGCAATGTTGGCTAAAGCTGCCCCCTTTACTGTTTACGATAAACAAATAAACTAAACATTGAATATGAATAGAGATTGTTTTTACTTATGTAATCGTAACCTCTTTTTTCAAATTGTTCTATAGCACACCTTACACTCCAGAGTTTACCTGTAAACAAAGATATCCCTACATTGTTAGCACTAGCCTCTAAATCAGGGGTGTCCAAACTACGGCCAGAGGGCCAAATGCGGCCCGCGGACCATTTTGAATCGGCCCTCAGACAGCAAATTCAAAAAGTATAATGCATTAAAGTGGACCTATCATGCTATATTTGAATAATATAGTGTAGGACCATACCTATATAAGGCATATTTATACTTTTTTTTTTTCAAAATACCAAACAGATCATGCATTTTAGCCATGCCTCATTTTGCTCAATTTGACAATTTCTAGCTCTGTTTTAGCAAGAGTTGATTCTGTGAGAACAGCACCACCTACAGGCCTGGCATATGTACTACAGCATCTCCAGCGCTTTCGAACGGCAATGGCCGTGGCTGTCTCCTCCTGATTGGTGGAGTTGGCCCAATAGCCGTAGCGCCACCGTCCTGATGTCAGGACAGTGTTCAAATCTGGATCAGTTTTTATCAGATCCGTTGCAGCCCCTTTTTTAGAGATTTGGGTATGGAGGAAAATAGAGAGGGTTGTGTTTTCTGACACTTGGTGAGTTCCCTGGAACACCGGGGACACATATTCATGTATAAAAGACGT